CACAAGTGGAGGGAGTTCTCTCTCTCTCTCTTTTTCTCTGGTTAGCATACAAGCCCCCTGGTAATTAAAAAAAAAAAAAAGGAAAATAAATCCTAATGTATTAAACAACCTTCTTTAGCCACAGTTTTTAAAATCTGTTAGCCTTCATTGAGTCTATTAGTAAAACATAGTAAATGGTAGTCCTTTTATATGCCTCCTGGCAGAGAGACTTACTATTTCAAAGAGAGGGAATAAAAAGATGATGATCAGGAATCTTAGATGCCACTGACCTTCTGGCCCTCCATGGTTGAAGTTTCTCTTGGATTCCTTAGAGGTGGGTACTCACTAACCATACTCATTCCATTGCACAACATCCATCATAATTCATTATTGAGTTTGTGAAACAAGACGCCTTCTCTTCATGCTGGTTGGATCCATCTGTGTTCTTTGGAACCGTTTTACTCTGCACAGAAAGAGGGCCTTGCCATCTTCCTAAATTTTACACCTTTTAATTAATAAGTCAGCGGATTAAGAGAGAAATATGGTGCTTTTATTTATTTTTTTCTTAGAGAGATTTTTGCCATAAGGCATGTACGCTTACCAGAGAGACAGAGGGAGACAGACAGAAAGCGAGAAATCACCCCCCAGGGGAGATGGCCATGCTGCAATCCCTTCTCCTCCATTCTTCTCTCGGGATTTTGGGCATGCACGCACATGTGCCCAGCATGAGTTTTAAGCTGCCAGGTCTGGTACTCAAACCGTGGTCGACGATATGGGAGTCCAGCAATGTAACCATTACACCATCTGCTGGCCCTGAATTGTGGTGCTTTTATCAGACAAAATTAATTTATTGATAACACAAATAGCAGATACCTTTGGACTCCACTGAGGAAATTTCCAAGTTAGTCTGAGAGGACAGCAAGCTTCTGACTCTGTGTTAATCTATGTACCTAGACATTTGATTTTACAGTAGTAGATTTGGAGTGGATATGGAAAATCACGTAGACTAATTGCCTCCTTTTAAAAGCTGAGCCAAACACCCTATGATACAGTGAGAGAAAATAATTTTCTCAGAGTTGCTCAAAAAAATCTTACTTTGCTGGGACCAACTCTATTGTGTTGACTCAAGGAACCATTCATTCTCTCTCTTGAGAATTGCTGAGGCTCTGAAGGGTGCCCAGCAGGCTTTCTTTTTTTCTTTGAGAGGTTTTCGCTATAGGTCGCGTCCACTCGCCAGCCAGACAGAGAGAGACAGAGAGACAGAAAGCGAGAAATCACCCCCCAGGGGGATGGTCATGCCGCAATCCCTTCTCCTCCATTCTCCTCTCGGGCTCTTGGGCATGCACGCACATGCGCCCGGCGTGAGTTTTAAGCCACTGGGTCCGGGACGCGAACCGCAGTCGACTACGTGGGAGTCCAGCGACATAGCCATTACGCTAACTGCTGGTTCCTGCCAGCAGGCTTTCTTTTTTTCTTTGAGAGGTTTTCGCTATAGGTCGCGTCCACTCGCCAGCCAGACAGAGAGAGACAGAGAGACAGAAAGCGAGAAATCACCCCCCAGGGGGATGGTCATGCCGCAATCCCTTCTCCTCCATTCTCCTCTCGGGCTCTTGGGCATGCACGCACATGCGCCCGGCGTGAGTTTTAAGCCACTGGGTCCGGGACGCGAACCGCAGTCGACTACGTGGGAGTCCAGCGACATAGCCATTACGCTAACTGCTGGTTCCTGCCAGCAGGCTTTCTTTTTTTCTTTGAGAGGTTTTCGCTATAGGTCGCGTCCACTCGCCAGCCAGACAGAGAGAGACAGAGAGACAGAAAGCGAGAAATCACCCCCCAGGGGGATGGTCATGCCGCAATCCCTTCTCCTCCATTCTCCTCTCGGGCTCTTGGGCATGCACGCACATGCGCCCGGCGTGAGTTTTAAGCCACTGGGTCCGGGACGCGAACCGCAGTCGACTACGTGGGAGTCCAGCGACATAGCCATTACACTAACTGCTGGTTCCTGCCAGCAGGCTTTCTTCATCCTCTTCTGGATCATGTGCCTGCAATGATTCAGATGGGTTAACTCTCAGAGAAAAGTTAAACATGTTTAGTTAATTCTTACTTGTTCTTTCTTCCCAGGCTGTTTCCCATGGACATCTCTCTGAATTTGTGCTATTACCATATTCCAGGTCTGTCAGAATATGATAGTAATTCACTTATCAAAGAAAAATGTCCCCTTAGCTTATGATCATAAGACAGAACCCATTGAGATAGGAAGTCCTGGGTTCCTCCAGAGCCAGGGGATGCTCGTGTTGAGCTGGTTACCATTGTCTTCACTTCGCTGCTGAGGACTGGGTCAGACTGGCCTCCATAATTTAATTCTAAGAAAGGGCCATAGGGGCAAGATTTAGGAGAAAAGTGACAGGTATGGGTGTGTGAACTGGGCACATTGCCCAACCCTCATCTCCTGCTTTGGGTAACTTTGACTCTTCTATATTTTCAAATCCTTCAAATGCCCACAAAGGCTGGTCATGGGGGCACAGAAAGACAAGTAGCCATGTAAGAAAGAGACTCAGTATATTGGTTTACCACAGAATGTATTTATTGCTTAGGATATATCACTGCTCGGCGTGTAGACCATATTCTCCCTTTTGCATTCTGCTTACTCAGACTCTCAGACATACCAGCTGGATTTTTGTTCTGGCTTGGAAAGTTGCTGTGTGATGTCAGGTTAATCACTTTCCTTCTATAAGGCACATGGGTCTTGCTTGAGACTGACAGTCCAGCTTGTACACTCTAGTCCACTTGGCTTCTACCCCAATTTGAATCCTTTCCCTGAGCTTACATTGTGGCCTCCTATTTCTCCTCTAACTCCCGGCTGTAACATGGCTGGCTCAAAACATGCCAGAGATCAAATATGGTACCTAACCTTCACATAATCACTCAACATAATGAATATTTCAATTCACTTTACTCCCTTCTTCCATTATCCTCTACTCTGACCACAAGGGAATGCTTTTGCATGAAGGCTGGGGTAAAACAACTCCTCACCCACTGCAGGGGACCCCCCAACCAAGAGCCTCTTCAGTGTTCCCGCTAGCACGTAATTCAGTCAAACCACTATACAGTCCTCACCCACCTGCTGAGTGGACACCCCTGACACTTAAATATTAGAACCAGGAGATTTTGCTTTACTGGGACAAAGGAAAATAACAAAACACCGGCTCCAGGATAAGCAATCTGTTTGAGTTCTCCTGCCCCTTCTACTTTGTGGATGGACATAAGGGGAGGAGGGCTCAGGGCTTAGCTCTCAAAGACACCATGTGCATTATGTCAGCTAGACTCTGTTCCTTGGTGTCCTCTTGATGATATCCTTTCTGAAATGTGGTCTTCGCTAAGTGCAGGGAGGTGCCACTCTAGAAAACGTTGAAGTTTTCTATAGAGAGTTTCACTCCTCACCCTCTGTGGGGGACTTCCCAACCATGTTACACTTTCATCTCTGTCATCAGCCTTGCTTCTGAGCTCTCCTGGTACTGCTATAAGACTTACCACTTTGGTATGTGAGGCAGCTAGGTTTAAAAGCTTCTATTATCCTCAGAGAACACACCCTGACACTGAGTAACTGAATTCTCTTCTGCAAATTGCTCTGGACTCAAAGCCAAACAGTTATGATTATGTTCTATTTTGGTGTCCCCTCTTCTGTTTGTTCTAGTCTTTTGTAGTTTATCCTAGTCTAGTTGATTCAATCATTTATTGGCAGGAACGTAAATGATGTGTCTAGGGCTGTGTATATGATGGTGAGCAACGTAGACATGGTCTTCACGTTTAGGGATCTTAGAGTTCAATTGAGAAGACCAAAATACAAAAAAAGTTATGTGACTATAATTTGGGATAGATGATATGAAAGAATTAAAATGCATAAAGAGAGAAATAGTGTAGGGGTATTTAACTATGGGAGAAGGACAGAATGAGGTTTCCCCAGCATTGTGATCTTTAAATTGAAAAATGAAGGTTCAAAAGGAAGAAAAGACCCCCCCCCCCCGAAGGCAGAAGGAACAGTGTGAGCGAATGCAATAGTGGAGATTTATTGCACATGTAATGGAAAGGAGGCCAATGCAGGTACTGTGGAGAGAGGGTCACAGTGGGACAGTATGAGTAAGAAGAGGTGATCCAAGAGCAGATTAGATCAAGGTAGTTTTTGTGGACCTGGTAAGGAGTTTAGGTGGACATAATCAAAGATTTTTTTTTTTTTTTTGAGAAATATTTTTGCTATAAGGTACATGTGCTCACTGAAGAGACAGAGAGACACAGACAGAAAGAAGTGAAAAATCACCCTCCTAGGGGGAATGGCCATGCCACAATCCCTTCCCCTCCATTCTCCTTTTGGGATTTTGGGCACGCACGCACATGCACCTAACATAGTTTTAAGCCACCGAGTCTGGGACGCCAACTGATTGACTACATGGGAGTCCAGTGACATAACCATTACGCTATCTGCTGGTCCCAACTTAATCAGATGTTAACAATAAACTGCTACAGGGATTTTAAGAAAAGATATGACATGGACTGACTTATATTTCCAAAAGTAAAAATAAAAAATCATGCCAGGCCCAGCTGTGGAGATACAGGTATAGGTGACAGGGCAGGACTACATGATACAAGAATCATAGGGGAGGCTCTAGATTTGTTTCTGAGTTGACCTGTGGGAGTACCCATGATCCTGGTTTGCTGGAAGGCTAGGCAGAGGTTGCAGCACAGGAGACCCTGTCAAGAGTTTCTCTCTCTCTCTCTCATTCTCTTGTTCATGAAACAAATAGATACACAAATCATTGTGGATGGGGATCGAAGGGTCAATTCAAACAGCCAGGAAACCAGAGGAACAGGGGATATTTGGGAAACCACTCTCTGTGCATTCTCCACCAGGACTTTCCGACATTCTTTGATCAACTGCAGTCTTTGCCTCAGAAAAACCTACTGCTAAAGCTTTGCCTTTTGTTCGTAGAGCACAACTAATCATAGTGACTTATCCTGTTATCTAGTGAGAAGTGACTTCGAAATAGACAGCAGCATATGTGGTTATGGGACTGCTCGCTGCCGGAGGAAATGTCAAGAAGGGGAATACAAAATCGGAAGATGTGTCAACACCTATGCATGCTGCTTGAGAAAATGGGATGACAGCTTACTGAATATTACAAAAATATAAAACTCCAGGGTCTCTGGAGTCACTCACAACAGGACCAATCTGCCTTCTTTTCCTGAGGCCCCAGTGTCACCATAAACCCTATTATTAAGCGCAGTTTGCTGAGCTCCAGCTCGATGCAAAGCCAATGTGAGGGGACTGCAGCAAAATGCAGGCTTGAAGACTTCTAAGTCCCTAACATGCCTCTCTGGTTGTGGTAAGGGAGTAAGCATGAGATTTTTACTTTAAAGGCTGCAAGAAAAATATGTACATGTAATTTGCCATAGGCCTAAGTGAAGCATTTTATTTTTGTTTGAATTATATCACTTTATCTTCACACTTGTTTCCTTTTCTGACTACAAGGTCTGTTCAACTGCTATTGGTTGTTGGGACAGTCATGATGCATTTTCACATTAAAAAAAAAAAAACCAGAAAAATACATAATGACTTTCCTGACGACCTAATATTTTTGTCTTTAAAATAAAAAAAATAGATCAATATTAAGTGCACCTTGTTTGGAATACATTGCATTTCAAAATAGACCTTCAGGAAGAAAAAAAGGTGATATGCAATGAAAAGGTTGGGAACACCACTATAATTTAAGGGCTTGACCAAGTGAGTATGTGAAGTGTCATATCCACCAGAGGGCAGCAGAGAGCAGTTCTACCCATGAGCCATGTTGGACAAAGCTGCATCCACCCTCATCACTCTGAAAACAGGTAAAGGGGAATAATAAAATATTTGACTTGCCTTTCCCAATTTAAGGGTGGAAGAGAGCAGCTTAACTGATTAATTTTCAAGAATTGCTTAACGAAAGTTGTTTAACCAGCCTGCCAACATGACAACCCCAGAAAGTATACATTCTGGGAAAGTTCCTGAACAAATGAAACCCTAAAGCAACAGGTCACCCTTGAGAAATGACTTCTCAAGATGTGACTGGTCACCAGCCCTTTTCTCCTTTGTACTTCTCCCTGGTTCCTCTCCCTCCTCAGGACATTTGGCAGGCCTTTTTCACAAATGTGTACTGAGCCTGTATCTTTCTGTCATATAGGAGAGAGAAGGGAACAATAAATTCCCTTGTTAGTAGGAGAATAATAAAGTTGAGGCGATGTCCGGGAGGACTGTACACCCCATAGTACTCAGCCCCTGAGGAACTGGGGGAGGGACATGCACACTAGGGAGTAAATTGTTGCTGTAACCATTCCAGGCGTTACCTGCCCATCAGACACCCGATCTTGCAAAACCACTATTAAAGTCTCTCTTTGCCATTCCTTGTGTCTCCATGTCCATTCTTCGGCACTGAATGGGTGAGCACGTTTCCCACAAGGGCAACGAAGTTGTTAATGAAGAAAAAGTTCTCTCAACAAAAATAGTCAAGCTAATAAATGAGGAGGGTCATAATTTTACAAGCACGTGGGGAAAGGATGATCCAGCCCATGAATGTCAATAGTCACTAAAATGTGCAAGAAACACAACCTGATAATGTGTGCTTCCTAATTAACAAGCACAATGCCAGGCGTGGTAGATGACATCATCCTCACCTTTTAGGTGTGGAAATTAAAACTGGATTGTGTCTTTTGTGACAAAAGACAATGTATAATGAAACTTTATATATCCCTCACCCAACTTCCACATGTGATTGCTTGATTACTTTCATTTAATTTCTTGATAAACTCCCTCTGCCTAGATTTTGTCAAAGAATAATAAATTATTTCGAAGATTCTCATTTGGAAATACTTTGGAGTATATAACTCAGAAAAAATGGCTTTTTTTTTTTTCTAAGGTTTTTGCTTTAGGTTCAATGCACTCACTAGAGAGACAGAGGAAGAGAGAAATGGTGAGAGGGAAAGTGAGAAACCCAGGGGGATAGCCAGGCTGCAGTCCTTCTCTCCATTTTCCTCCTGGCATTGTGGGCATGCACACACTCATGCCCAGCATGATTTTTTAAATGACTAGGTCTGGGACTCAAACCATGGTTGGATATGTGGGAATTCAGGGCCTTGACCACCATGCCACCTGCTGGCTCCAAAAGGACTTTAAAAAATATATAACTTTAATACTATTACCACTTGCGAGGGGGAAAAAAAAAAACCAAAATATTAGTTCCTTAAAATAATTTAAAAGTCAACCAGAATTTAAAATGATTTGGATTGTTTCACAAGCACCTTTTTAAGAGTTGGTTTCTTGGGATCAGGGTCCTAAAAGGTTCACACACTGCATTTGGTTGCTTGTCTTCAAGGCCTCTTGCATAGATGGTATATATCCTTGCTAGTCCACCTACAAAACACTATGCCAAAAATCGAATGCAAATTTTGGCAAGTTTCTAGACCTTACCACTACAATTACAAGGAAGAAAGGAGCCTGTTTTATCACCCTTGAGAATGTAGCACTCTAAATGCAGGATACAGAACAGGCCATTAGATAAGGGAACATGTATTATATTATTTCTTCTACTGTGTTGGTGTCCTTCTTCATTATTCTTATATTTAGTATTTTACAAAGTACATTTATGTGCATAATCTTTGATCATCACAATAAGTTCTTGAAATAGGCATGGCAAACAGCATCCTCCTACCCTATAGTTATGGAAATTAAGGCTCGAAAAGATTAGTGACTTTTGGCCAATACGTTAGGTAAGACCAGGTCTAAACCTTAGACTTCAAGTGCAAATCAGAAGCACTTCGAGAAGAAGAAATCTGGAATTCCAGTTGTGCAATGTGACAGATAACTGTGGAAAATTACTTACCTTATTTGTACCTTGATTTTCCCATCAGGAATAGAGTCATTTTACTAAACAGTACAAACCAACCTCTGGACCACATGCTAAAATTAGTTCTTGTCACCTTTCTTAATTTCAATTTTATGTTTTCCTAAGAGAAAAGCCACCTTGTACTTCCCAATGTAATAATAGGACAAAGCAAAGGACTTCTACAAATTTTAATGATTGCTACCAGCAGTAGTGATCAGAGTGATGATAACAAACAGAAAGAAACACTGATGTAGAACGTGGGGGTGCAGGGGTGATCAGGCCCACCATCTGAAGTGGTACATCAATTACTATCTCACACTCACGAAGAGTTAGAGATGTGGACACAGAGGCAGGATAGTAAAGTGGAGTGTTTACTGAGGGAGAGAAAGAACAGAGCTCTCTAGAAAAAGGGAAGGGGTCCCAAAATGAGTTGCCGAGGAAGAACTGAGGTGAGGGGTCTTTACTTTGGTCAGGAGAGGCTTTATCCAGACTTGGGCTTGCATGTGTGTTCTTCTCATGGTGGTGGTGGGGGCGGGGGGCACATGCTGGATGTGTACAGTTATTCTTCTAATTTTGGAGTGGGTACAAAGGTCAGGGAGTTCTTTGTCTAGAAGCTTTGGGTAATAAAAACCATTATTTTCCTTCTTGGAATGTGGTAGGGCCTGGAAAAAAGCCTTCATTTTAGGTCTAGGTCATGCTGCCTAGGTCAATCACTAAGCCACAGCTGCAAGTTGTCTTTTAAAACTTAGCCATTTTGGGAACCAGCAGATGGCATAATGATTATGTTGCTGGGCTCCCATGTAGTTGGCCATGGTTTGAGTCCTGGATCTGGTGGCTAAAATCTCACGCCAGGTATATGTATGTGTGTACCCAAAATCCAGAGAGGAGAATGGAGGAGAAGGGATTGCGATGTGGCCATCCCTTCTGGGGGGGGGGTAATTTCTCTGTGTCTCTTGGGTGAGTGCATGCACCCTATGCCAAAAATCTCTCTGAAAGAAACCAAAAACCAAAAAACAAAACAAAACACAAAAAACAAACATAAACAGCCATTCTGTGATTTCATTTTGGGTTTATACCCTAACTATAATTTTGGGGTCCCTGTCTTCTACCTCAACACTATCTCATCATTAGATAAAATTAGGAGAACCTCTTATCCTGATGTGCCCTGTAGATTCCCAGGTTTCATTTGCTCTCCCGATGTCCTTTCTTTTCATTTTCTAAAGGGGTTGGACTCTGAAACAGTATCTACCCCCTTCCTTCTCAGTACAATTTCCTAAAGCCATATTAATGAACTGCTACCTCTGTACTAAAGGAGATTATAAAGCCATGCCACTTTAATCTCATGGCTTAATAGTAAAAGAACATGACTACCTTGTTCTATTTTATTGTTGCCAGAATTGGCAGGGAATATTAAATGCTTTTGGGCTTAATGCATGGCAGATACAACCAGAAACTATATAACATTGTTTGAGAAGACTCAAATTAAATAAAATAGAAAGGATGAGGGTCAGAAGAGATGGAGAAATGGAGAGGACAGAGAAACAGGAAGAGAGAGGCAGCCAAGAGAAAGAACAAGAGTGAAAGTGTTGAGTGGCTTTGAAATGACCTATCCAACTTTAAGAAATAAGTTTTTTAAAAAATATTTTTGTCCAATTTAATAAATAATCTTTTGATGACTGCAGACATGTAAGACCTGCTATATTCAGAAATATCAGTCATGCTGGTTTTCCAGATTGGTGTATAATCTTCAAAAATTAGAAAGAGCTACTTGTATGCAACTGCTATCAAACCGGTAAGACAGCATTTATGCATCCATCATTTTCAGTATTGTTTGTAACTTGGGCATATTTCCCCCAAATAACCTTGCCTCCTTTTGGTGGTAACATCCAAAGTTGTAGATAGTGGGGATGAGGGATTCTTCTTTACACCAAGTATTGGCAGACAAAAGGTGGCTTTCAGTTCAGGGTGTGTTATGTGGGCCTTCTTGAAGTGTAAACCCATCGGCCTAATGAATCTTTCATATTTAGGTGGTTTTCTAGTAAAGCCATCTCCAACAATGCAGACTTTTGTAACCACACTCTTTTGTGCCTTCTTCTTTCTCTTTCCTGTTCGAATAACTTTTAATACTTCTCTTTCTCCCTGGGCTCAAATCTTGGGTAGAGGGACTTCCCATTTTCCCACTGTCTCTTTCCATTTTTGTTTACTCATATTGGAAAGTACTTTAGCTTGGGACTTTCCTTCTCTGTTCAACAGATAGGCAGGTACTGCTCCTTGTGGAGTCTTTTCATCATTCTTCTGTTTGGTGTTCCTCTTTTCATGCATCTTGATAGTCTTTTTATCTCTCTGAAAAAAACCAAAAACCAAAAAACAAAACAAAACACAAAAAACAAACATAAACAGCCATTCTGTGATTTCATTTTGGGTTTATACCCTAACTATAATTTTGGGGTCCCTGTCTTCTACCTCAACACTATCTCATCATTAGATAAAATTAGGAGAACCTCTTATCCTGATGTGCCCTGTAGATTCCCAGGTTTCATTTGCTCTCCCGATGTCCTTTCTTTTCATTTTCTAAAGGGGTTGGACTCTGAAACAGTATCTACCCCCTTCCTTCTCAGTACAATTTCCTAAAGCCATATTAATGAACTGCTACCTCTGTACTAAAGGAGATTATAAAGCCATGCCACTTTAATCTCATGGCTTAATAGTAAAAGAACATGACTACCTTGTTCTATTTTATTGTTGCCAGAATTGGCAGGGAATATTAAATGCTTTTGGGCTTAATGCATGGCAGATACAACCAGAAACTATATAACATTGTTTGAGAAGACTCAAATTAAATAAAATAGAAAGGATGAGGGTCAGAAGAGATGGAGAAATGGAGAGGACAGAGAAACAGGAAGAGAGAGGCAGCCAAGAGAAAGAACAAGAGTGAAAGTGTTGAGTGGCTTTGAAATGACCTATCCAACTTTAAGAAATAAGTTTTTTAAAAAATATTTTTGTCCAATTTAATAAATAATCTTTTGATGACTGCAGACATGTAAGACCTGCTATATTCAGAAATATCAGTCATGCTGGTTTTCCAGATTGGTGTATAATCTTCAAAAATTAGAAAGAGCTACTTGTATGCAACTGCTATCAAACCGGTAAGACAGCATTTATGCATCCATCATTTTCAGTATTGTTTGTAACTTGGGCATATTTCCCCCAAATAACCTTGCCTCCTTTTGGTGGTAACATCCAAAGTTGTAGATAGTGGGGATGAGGGATTCTTCTTTACACCAAGTATTGGCAGACAAAAGGTGGCTTTCAGTTCAGGGTGTGTTATGTGGGCCTTCTTGAAGTGTAAACCCATCGGCCTAATGAATCTTTCATATTTAGGTGGTTTTCTAGTAAAGCCATCTCCAACAATGCAGACTTTTGTAACCACACTCTTTTGTGCCTTCTTCTTTCTCTTTCCTGTTCGAATAACTTTTAATACTTCTCTTTCTCCCTGGGCTCAAATCTTGGGTAGAGGGACTTCCCATTTTCCCACTGTCTCTTTCCATTTTTGTTTACTCATATTGGAAAGTACTTTAGCTTGGGACTTTCCTTCTCTGTTCAACAGATAGGCAGGTACTGCTCCTTGTGGAGTCTTTTCATCATTCTTCTGTTTGGTGTTCCTCTTTTCATGCATCTTGATAGTCTTTTTTATTTGTATTTTCTCAGCATGGTGCTATTTATGATAGAGCTTAACCTTCAGACCAGTCATCTTTTTTGCCTTCTTTGAACATTCATGAGCCTCCCAACTTAACTTCTTTCTCTTTTTTGCATGGTAATCCAAACAGTATCCATAGTATTTATGATGTAATTCAATATATTCATTTTGTGGCATGGTGATGGCTACATGGTCGCCGGGAGCAGCCTCCGGGATGCAAAGAAGTTGTCAACTTTCAGGTCTCAGAGACCAACCAGGAAATAAGTTTCTAAAACCAAGTCCTACCTGTATCTTGTGTATCTTTATGCATAATATTTTACACCGAAATGAGTATGTTCGACAGACAGGATAAAATCAATATGGCAAATTTATTATTTTAAATGTCTAGCAGGGGATTATTGAGAAGCACTTGAGGAAATTGATTTTATGGTAATGACATTTATTTTGCCTCTCCAGGTTTTTCATCTCTCTGTGACTCCTCTCTTTTCCTACTCTTTCTTATTCATCAAACCCACCCAAGGCATTCAGGCATATTATTTGCTTCCTGAAAAATATGGGTCAAGTGTTTGTTCTGTAAGCAGTGGGAAAATAATATGATTACATGGTTTTTTGTGACTAAGAACCTGTTCTGGAATGCAGCTCTCCTCAGGATCCTGGCCCACACACCCACCCAGCCCAGGTCTATAAAGGAACCTGCTGCCTGCCCACCCACCTGGGGTCCTCTTAGCTTGTAGGACCCTCAGCAGACATGAAGCAGCGAATCCTCTCTCATTTCACCAGCTTCCTCCTTGTGGCCCTGCTGTTCCCAGGTAAAACAGAAAGGTGACTTGGGCCTGGGTGCCAAGATCTCTCTGCAATGGTCACTTTGGGTGGGACAGTGAAAGATTAAGTCCTGGGAGCACATTTCCTGATGTTGGAGTCTGGGCTGACTTTCAAATGACACTGAATATGCTGTTGCTCTAGCTTCCCAAGGGAGGGGACTGCTCCCCTGACTCTATTTTCTTATCCCTCCCCCTTTTAAAAAATACTTCTTTATCCTTTTAGCATTCCTCTTCCTTACTAGAGAAGAACATTAAGTTTTAGGGAATCTTCAGAACTACTTGGTTTTGGTGAGGACTCTGTCTCACTGTTCTACTTCATGGGCTTTTTACACATCATTTACCATCTCTCTCCACAAATGCACACATCCACACACATATATACTCATTGTACAAATGTGTACACACACACAAGCACCCTTTCCAAATCACACCAGCCCATTGCTCACTTTTGCTCACTCTTTGAGTGTAGATACCTTATCCTCATGGGTTGGTTGAATGGAGAGCTCTGAAAATCCTCTGCTGTATATTTATGTTTCAACAGAACTGCCCAGAGCCCGTTTTGTTAACCATTTTGGCATTGAGGTTACCACAGAACCTGGCAAAGAATCTCCTGGACGAGGAACAAATGGGTCTCACTTGTTACACCATCATGTAAAACGTGGCTTCTTGCCACCACGCACTCCCCCTTATCCTGGTAAGTCAGGTACCATAGTGCATAGCAAGTTTATTCACCTTGAAAATGTTGAATGAACAAATAAATGGGAAGGCAATTGTGCAGGTGGGTGGATAGGTAGGTTGAATGGCAATTGTTTGGGGAAGACATAGTGGCAGTCTACTCTACCTGTCATGAAACCAGGGAAGTGTTACAGTCTATACAGGGGGTGGATCTCTGAGGGTCTTGTGAAACATACAAGTAGTGAGGGGCCAAGAAGAAAATTATCCAAGGCCAATTCTGTGATCTCTGAATTTACCCAAACATAGTATCCAGAGGAGATGACGCTGATAGGACATCTCCTCCTGCCGGGTTGGAGCCCTACTCCTTTGTGGTCATTCACTGGACAGGAATTTACTGAATACTCGTGAAGTACCAGATGCCAAATGAGGCTTAGGGAATTCTTCCCGGGGACCAGAGCAGGGAACAGGCTGTGCTGCCAATCTACTTGAAGGAGGAAAGGAAGAACAAAGGACATCAAGCCCTTGGTAAATCTTCTAGACTCTTCCAGCTAGATCTGGGCTCCTGGTAATGTCTCCAACTCCTGCCCAAGGACAACTTTAAATCTATAACGGTCTAGTGAGGATGGTAGTTTTCAAGATATTTCCTTAATCTCAACCTCACTGCTGACCCTGAAACAAACACACAAAAAAATTAGGTAAAAAACTCAGTGGTCAGGACCAGGAGGATAAGAGAGTGTTGGCAAATTGTTGGTAACTATGGAGTATGAGCTAAAATTTTTTGATATGTAAAGTAAATGTTTGTGGAAAAATGTAAAAATAAATAAATGAAAGATAAAAATGTAAATAAAAATAAAAAAGAAAAAAAAAGAAAAAAATTGTTGGTAAAATCCAGTGATGATGGTTCTGCCAACTTTAATTCCTAAATTATCGTACCTTATCTTCTGTCCCTTTGGAGTTGGCCCTAGTTCTATAGGATTTGCTAGTGTGATTCTCCTCTCAAGGGGAGAGGAAAAGAAAATGTAATGATTACACCACCAATATAAACGGGCACAATATGGACCTGTGTTTGTTAGTCTATTAGCAATTCTATGAGTAGGATCATTGTTCTCATTTGGTTAATATGGGAACCGAAGAGATTTAGGAGCAGTGCTATGTATCTGAGGTTGATTTTGTAGTTTAGAATGTAAAGTTATGAGGTATAGAAAGATTTTTCTTGGGCCAGCAGGTGGTTTTGTGGTTAAGGAACTAGATTCCCATATGTAAAGTAAATGTTTGTGGAAAAATGTAAAAATAAATAAATGAAAGATAAAAATGTAAATAAAAATAAAAAAGAAAAAAAAAGAAAAAAATTGTTGGTAAAATCCAGTGATGATGGTTCTGCCAACTTTAATTCCTAAATTATCGTACCTTATCTTCTGTCCCTTTGGAGTTGGCCCTAGTTCTATAGGATTTGCTAGTGTGATTCTCCTCTCAAGGGGAGAGGAAAAGAAAATGTAATGATTACACCACCAATATAAACGGGCACAATATGGACCTGTGTTTGTTAGTCTATTAGCAATTCTATGAGTAGGATCATTGTTCTCATTTGGTTAATATGGGAACCGAAGAGATTTAGGAGCAGTGCTATGTATCTGAGGTTGATTTTGTAGTTTAGAATGTAAAGTTATGAGGTATAGAAAGATTTTTCTTGGGCCAGCAGGTGGTTTTGTGGTTAAGGAACTAGATTCCCACGTGACTGACTATGCTTCAAGTCTGGCAGCTTGAAAATCACAACAAATAAATAGACATATAAATAAATAAATGTTTTTAAAAAACTGTTCCTTAACCAATGCCATTCCCCACCATATCCCTAAAGGTTTAATCACTGTTTGATTCTAGAGATGGTCTTAAGAGGCTCATGTTGTATATTTTCTCATACAGAACCTGAACTAGATTTCAAAGTTGTCAACTGCAAGAGAAGTGAAGGTTTCTGTCAAGAATATTGCAATTACTTGGAAACACAAGTAGGCTACTGCTCTAAAAAAAAAGATGCCTGCTGTTTACATAGGAGCTGATGTGGCCAATACAGAAACCAAGGCTCTGCCCACCTGCTTGTTCTAGGCACATTGTGCATCCAGGCACAGGCGTTTTGGAGAAGTGGCTGACCAGGAAGGAACTGAGACATTACCATCTGTGCCAGACAGTCTGAACATTATGGCAAAATGGATGAGAAAGCTGGCTACATATGCTCTTGTACAAAATGACTTAGTCTGGAATGTACAGAATCTTCAAAACCACACAATTTATGCTAGTAGATGTGGACATAATAAACTTTCATAGGAAAGCATGAAAATATTTTGTTATTTTATTTAACAAATAGCTTTGAGTACCTACTTTTGTTCTAAGCACTGAGAAATGTAGTGAATTTGGCACATAAATAAGATACACAGGGAGACACATATTTGAACAAAAACAATACACCATAAATGGAGCAGATTAATGTAAGACAACTTGAAAAGGGTTCCTGTGGAAATATGAGCAAATTAGAGAATGCTCAGGAATTTGCTAAGTTGAGTGAGGCAGAGATTTCCAAGCTAAGAGTATAGTTTACAGATGGGCAATGGAGACATAAAACTACGGTTTGTTAAATAAATGGGGAGAAGTCTAACTGTGAAAGAGATTAGTGTTAGGAAAAGAAGTTGCTATAGTTGATATAGGTGTGAAATTATCAAAGAAACATTTATTTAAATAATTATTTATTTAATTTTCTTATTATATTTTGATTTGACCAGAATGAGAGAGAGAGAGAGGAAGAGGAGAGAGAGAAAAGGAAAATGAGAAAGCAAGCTGCTAGATCCGAGACTCGAACTGTGGTCAGCCATGTGGGAGTCCAGCACCTTGACCACCATGCCACCTGCCAGCCCTAAAACATTTATTGACTCCTAAACAACAGGAAGTTATCAGGTGCTCCAGGAGCATGACATAATAAAATTTTCAATTTTAGAATGCCCATTCTAACAGCAGAATTAGGAATGGACTGGAAATGTGCCAGACAAAAGGCCAGAAGGCCAGACAAGAGGCAATTTCAACAGTGGAAGTTCTAGGTGATCCATCATGATTAAAGTAGGGATTATAGATGTTAGAAAAAAGCACTACAATCAAAGGGGGTTACAAAACAGACAGAGTTTACAGGCTTGGTGATGGAGAAGAAGGAATGGCAAAGGAATAGAAAAGACTTATATTGACCAGTGCTACCTACCCACACAGGATAAGGAGAAGCAAGAGGAGCATGGAGAGAACTAGACCTGGCTTTGGACCTGTTGGACTTAAAAGCATTCACACATGTCCAGTGGAAAGTTGAATGGACCTCCATGTGAATATCAGGAAAAGGCAGAAGATGAGAAATAAAGGAGAAGTCATTTGCCAGTAGGTGGTAACTGAAATCTTGAGAGAGACAATTGATCACCCTGAGACAGCTTTATGGGAAGAAGAGATGATGTCAAAGAAGGCTGTTTAATTGAAGTATGGAAAATAGGGAGCAATGGAAAATATGAGACGTGGGAAGTGAGTGACTGGAAACAACACATTTCTAGAAGACAAGAACAGTGAATGTTTGATAGAATGAAAGTTCAGGAAAGAAAGAGGTATACCAGAGACAATAGAGAGTGATACTGAAAGGGCTGGTGCTATAGCCTAGCGGTGAAGGTAAGCCCGATCCCACATAATCCACTGTAGTTTGAGTCTCAGCCCCAGCAACTTGACAAACATGCCATCTTTATATGTGCCCAAAGTCCCGACAGGATGGAAAGATGGAGAAGAAGGGATTGCGGTATGACCGCATTCCATTGATGGGTGCTTTCACCGTCTCCCCCCCCTCTCTCTGTCTCTCTCAGTGAGCACACATGCACTCTGGCAATTAAAAAGAAGAAAAGAAAAATAAAAAAGTGATCTTGAAAAAAATGGAGAGACTGTCTCACCACAATTTTTAGCCATATCTGATTGAGACATTGAGTGTCAGAGCACCTGGTTCCTAGATTAGTTCATTATTAATATAGTCTTAGATGTTTGGCCTTAGGATGACTCCTAAGTGATGAGGACAAAAATTTACTAGAGGAAGCTTTTTGTCTGTCTTTGGTGTAAAAGCTTAAAGAGTGATTAAATATGAGAACAGAGTTGGGGGGATTATGTGTGTATAAGAAGAAGTGTTCAGAGGAGGAATAAAGTTGAGATGGTCAAGAAAGGAATTGAGAAAACTAGAGCCTTCCCTGCGAAGAGCACATCTAAGCATGTTTGTTATCTTTAAATATCTCTAATAACCTCTCTGTTCTCATTCATTCATTCATTCATTCAATGAATATCTGGTAACATCCTTTATGCTCCAAGTATTGTTTTAGAAGCTGAAGATTTGTATAATGAATAAACCTCCTGCCCTCATGCTACTCATATTGTAAAAATGGGAGACAGAACATACACAAATGTGTGAGTAAATATACATGCTAGAAAGCTGTACGTGGTATGGAAAAAGAAAAAGCATGGAGGGGAATACACATTGTCAAGCAAAGGGTTAACATTTTAAGTGAAGCAGTTGTGGAAAGTCTCACTGAGAAGGTAGCTATTGAGTAAAAGACCTAAAGGAAGTTAGGAAGTGAGTCATCTGTATTTGGTGGACAGTAGCAATTCCAAAGAAAGAAAACAGCAAATTCCAGTGTCCCAGGGAACAAGCATGTTTAATATATTTGAGGAGAGAACTCCAGTATGACTGGAATGAAGGTAATAAAGAGCCATGAGGCTAGGATGGTCATAAGGTTAGGGGATGAACTTACAGGTCAGGGTAAGATTTGGGCTTTCACTTGGGAGAAGATAGAAAGTCATCTGGACTTTATTTATTTGTTTATGTGTTTGAAAGGAGTGTGTTATTAACAATATTGTGAGTAAAATGTTAATTTATTTCTAAATTTAAAATAATTTTTGATTTTACCATACATGGTATGGACTTGATTTCTTTTTTAGATAAATTATCATTGGTGTAAAAAATGCAATTGATTTTTCTTATTGATTTTGTATTTTCCCACTGTACTAAATTTATCATTCCTAACTTTTTTTTTTTTCTGGTGTGTGTGTATGTGTAGTTTTTAGGGTTTTCTACATAGAATCACACCAATAAATAGAGGTCATTTTATTTTTTCCTTTGATTTGGATGACTTTTTTTCTTTTTTTGTCTGATTACTCTCATTAGTATTTCTAGCACTACACTCAATCGAAGTGGTGAGAGAGAGGATCTTGTCTTCTATTGGATCTCTAGACAAAATGCTTTTGGTATTTTATCATTGACTGTTATACATCTTTATACATTTTATTAATTTTATTAAGTTTATAAAATTTTGTTTCATTCCTATTTCGCTGAGAGTTTTTTATTATGAAAATATGTTGAACTTTGTCAAACATTTTTTCTGTATCAGTTGAGATGAGCAGGTGGTTCTTATCTTCATCCTGTTAATATGGCATATAAGAGTGATTGATTTGCATATATTAAACAAACTTTGCAACTCAGGAATCAAGCCTACTTGGTTATGATGTAAAACCTTTTGGATGTTGTCAATATAATCTTTAATGTTATCATTATATAATAACCTTCTTTATCTCTTATGACAGTTTTTTAACTTAAAATCTATTTTGTCCGATATAAGATGTGAACTTTCTTTTGGTTACTATTTGCATAGAATTATTTTATCTTTAAAAACACCCAGTTAAATCATTGCATTATCTTTAAATTTTAAATCTACATTTTAAAGAACAAAAATAATATGCATAAGGCTATGTACATTACATCACTAGGAAAGTCATAACACATTTTGAATAGAAAAATATGTCATGACTTTCCTGATGGCCCAGTATATGTACATGTAAAGATAGCCTTTGATTATGGACAAAGACAACCTGTGGTTGCTATAAGTTATACCAAGAAAGTCATAAATTTAATCCAAGAAAGAAAAATCTTGGCATTAAGATGATCAGACATTGGGTCAGGTTACCCAGGGTTATTTTGGAGTCTGTAATAGGATTCATAGAGGTAAAAATTAACACCCCCCCCCCACTACTTTACTGTGATAATGCTTGTAGTTCTGTTTGGAGACAAAAGAATGAACGTAATGGCCTTCCAAGGTCAGTTCTGAGCCAACAATTTCCTTAGATTTTTTTGTTTGTTTGTTCTTTTATTCTTCTCATTGAAGCTGTTCAGTACAAGCCCCTGAGCGGTGGTCAGGCTGTATGGGCACTAGTTGTCTCTTCCAGTGGGAAGAGATCCTTTTGCGGCAGGTTGCTTTAGGCCATTTCAGAGCCTGTTGTAACACAGCCGACTGCCTTGCACATTGCCTTCCACTCCCACTTCTGCACACAGTGTCCTTCCCTTCCACTGCACCCCTGGAAGACTTCCATGGGCTTTGATCTCTCTGACTCATCGACTGCCAGGGTCTCCCTGTCATCAGCAAATCTATTTTCTCCTCAATGCCCAAGGTTTACTGGTACAGGAGGCAGGGTTGGCAGGCTCAGTCAATCTTATCCCCATTTAGCTTCCTGTGACTTAAATAATGGCTACACCTAATCATTTATTCCCATCCATACATGTGGTGATCATTACAGCCGCGGAGGCTTGGCCTACCTTATCCTTATCTCCTAGATTATGGGAAATGACCTGACTGCATTGAAGGACTCTCCTTTAGCATAAGAACAAAAATAGAAATTAGCATGTTCCAATGCAAAGAAACTGTATTCCTTAACACAGGGTCTACTTCTTTCTTGATCAACCAAAAACTTCTCTGGAACAAGACGAGTACCATTAGCAGTATCTCTGAGTAATGCTGTAAGAGAATGCTAGAGATGGGAATTACCCTGGGTACAGGGAAGCAATGTGAAAATCCCATTATGAATCAGAGGATGCTCCCCTCAGAGGGGTCTGATTAATGGCTCTCTTAGTTCTAAGTATTTCCATGGGCATTGGGGTGAAACATCTTTAAGAACTTTTAAGATTTCAGAAGCTCAGGAAAGTCTTCTTCAGAATTTGTTCTTCCATCCCTTCCATCTGCTTCCTATGGATTCTTTGTTTTGCTCCCACCCTCCCCTCCTCTGAACTCAGAGAATGTCCTTAGAGAATTCTAGACAATACCTCTTACCTGCCTATCAAAAGCACCTATCAATATAATGGGCCAGGTGTTATTTTTATTTCACTGTAAGACAAACCAAGGGCAGATCCAAACTGTAGGAGGCCATATGACTCTGTCAATTCCAAATTATGAGTATATGCGTAGACATAATAGCACTTATTGGGATTACAAAATAATTACATTCTAGTTCAAACTTAGTAATGCTTGTGTTCATTAGCACAATGGACAGATGCATTCCTTTAACCCCAAGCTATTTGTGGCAATCAGTGAATTGTATTTGTCTGAATGAGGAATGCATTCTGGGTAGTAAGGAGCATGACTACAGCTGGTGATTACAAATTAAACAGAGGTTTTCCCGTAAGACCTAAGTTACTCAGATAGATCATTCAACAAAAGAAACATAGGTGCAGGAGCTTATCATGCTCTCTCATGATGAACTAGATTAATCCTGGAAGAGAAAGAAACCCATGAAGCAAGCAATATAAAAATCTGGTATTGGATTGACTATGGGAAATGATCAATTATTGCTCTTACTTTCTCCTTGGCTTATCCAATGATCTGGTAAATATTGTTAGCTGTACCAGGAATCATAAAAGTGAGGAGTACAGGAAGAAACTGAGGAATTAAATTTGGGTGATAGAAAGGAAGCCACTAGCAGTTCCTAGGGCTAGAAGGAAATGATTATGGTCATTTGTTTGGAATGGAAATGGACAAAGCTATTAGAATAAAAACAGAAGGACCAAAAGAAACATGTGGATTCTGGGATGAGATAAAGTCAAGGGGAAGAAAATTTCAAGGGAATATTGTGGTAAGACTTCTTAATTGAAGAACGACTGTCTTCAGTCAATTTAGTCTGTTGGAACCCAGTTTATTATTTCACTTGATCTAGACCCAAGGGATGTGTTGATGTAATTCAAATGGCTAATAACCAAGAATAAGAGGCTTATTTGATGTAAACCTCTGATGAAGAGAAAAAGTAGTCTTATCATAAACAATCAAGATAGTCTCCTGTAATTTTTTAGGAGAATGTGAGATACTTCCATGAGATCATAAAGGCTGAAAATTCTGTTTATATTTTCAGGGAGAAAAAATGATGAGGTATGAAATGTCTCCATAAAATGTAAGTATAAAAGAGACTTTGAAGAGGGATGAATTAATTTATTCAACCACTATATTCTTTTCACTGGTAAATGTAACTTTAGAAACCAGCAAAATGTCAAAGCCATATGAATTTAACATTAAAGGACACAGCCATGTTTTCGGTCCTCAGAATGATGTGTAAACTTTAAAATGGGGATACAAGAAAATGGGTTTGGACATGGCAAATTTAAAGAAACAGATTAGTACCCAAAATTTCTTTTCTCAAAAAAAGCAAAATAGTAATATTTAAGAAAAGGAATTTTATAATATTCTCAAACATGGCATTTGGAAGAAATATATTCTGATGCCTTGAATATTTGAGAATTATTTTATCTTTTACCCATGAAAGATAATCATCCATGAAACCAAATCTTTGCAACACAACTTTTCTAGTTAAACCTCAACAGCTCCATTCCTTACCCAGCATTTAGTGTGGAGTAAGAGAAACATAACACAGATGTGCTTTTCTTAGTTTATAGGATACCTAATTTTCGTAGATTTCTTTTTGAAAATTTATTCTTCAAAGTTTTATTAAGGCATATCTAACTGCAGTTTTTTCTTTTTTTTTTCTTTTTTGGTTTTATCTGAAAATGATTAAGTCCTGCTAACAGACCTCTTTGGATAGTTTTAAAAAGTCTTAAAATATTTTAATAATTTTTTGGAGATTTTCTGTTTTGTATTAGAAATTCCATAGCCTTTAGGTCATCCCATCTTTCTCTGACTTCCATGTCTCACATTCTGTAATAACTTTCACATATATGTCTTTTTCTTCCACTGTCTGAGATGCCATCTCAGTTTGATCATCTTAATTCAATTTTCAAAGTATTAGCTTTATCTTGTTATCCTCAACTTTTACTTACTCCCCATTCATTTTTCATCTCAGCCTGCTGTTATTTTATTTCACCTTCTTTTTGTCCTTACAGATACCTGCTTCTAATTGCAGATGCTGGTTTTTGTTTGTTTGTTTGTTTACTAAAAAAAAATTATGTATGTAGGACACAATTGTGTTCTGATTCCTGCAGTAGATATTTTTTTGCAAGAAAGCTCTTTTACTTAGTCTTTGCAAGACTATCTCCTTGCCTTTATTTTGCTGTGCTTGTTCATATCCTGTGTTGATTCGAGTTCTGTCTCTGTTAGTAAACACATTAATTCTTTCAACAGATATTTATTTATTGCATTATTATGAGTGCTAAAAATTACAGCAAAGAACCAAGCAAAATCCCTGCCTACATGGAGCATTCTCTAGTGGGAAGAACAAAGGACTGGGAAAG